TTTTTTTTTTTTTTTCTTCTTCCCCCCCCCCATATTGCATTCAAATACAAAACACACTACAAACATAGACAAAAAGTGACAAATTCTCTTTTTGTAAACTGCCCCAGCAAACTGCCTCTCAATGGTACCCGCTTAGCGGCTGTAAGCAGTGATGTTGATCGAAGGGGTTGAAAGGTACATGTTAACCCCAGTTATGGTTGGTTATTTAGTACATGTGTAATGTATTAATGACAAATTTTCATGCTTCACCTGTTTTTTAGCCTTATCAAACCAATCTGGCTATTTTTGTTTCCTCTAGAGAATAAAATTATTTTTCTTACTTTTATTTGGAGAAGATAGAATACGCCCAGTTCAGCTAAGAAATTGGGCAGAGTAAGAGCAATATGATTGCAGCTTTGGGGGGAAAAAAGCACCAGAAAACCTGAAAGTAATCTGCAATTAAATAATTGTAATTATTTTGTATAAACAAAATGGAAGTATAAACAAAGCTAGTTGAAAATTAAAAGACTAGTTAATGAGGCAAATCACACTGAGATTTCAGGGGTTTGAATAGGAGAAAACTGGAGTCTTAAGGAGAGGGGGGTCTCCATAACGATATTTAACATGAATTAGTGACTAATAAGCCAAGAAAAGCTGTCTTGAAAATCAGAAGGTGTAGCGCTAAGGAAAGGATGGTCAAAAGGCGAGCCGATATGTACTGTAGCTTCATGGTCACTTCGAGCTGGTGCTGCCAGAGGTGTCTGTGGCTGCTTGTTTGTATCTCCCAATTGCACCTTCTCTTGTGGCAGCACAAGCATTTGTAGAGCTGCTTGGGTGAACAGGATAGAAGAATTTGTCTGGGTTCAACCTGATCTAGGGGGGGAAAAAGTTATTTTTAAACAGATCAATTCCCCGATTCCATTCGTTACATGAGGCACTACTTGTGGACAGCAAACAAGTGAATGAGTAGCTGGGGCAAAGCTTATGCTGGCTTTAAGTGATCATCAGACTTCAAGAGAATTAGTCTTAAGAAGAATTAAGACTGTAATCTATGGTATTTAGCCACATAAGAAGGAGGTTTGCAGCAAGGATGACATCTGTTCATGATTAAAGATAGCATATATTTCTTCCCCAAAATTAAAAGAACACTTTCACCTTGCCTTAATTTTTGATAAGGATGATGTTGATGAGAGCAAAGACAAGCTGATGAAGAATGATGATAATGGAACTAAAAGTCAAAGCAGGTTCAGTGCATTCATGTGGAGGAGAGGAGATAATCTTCCTCCCAGGATATCAAAACTGATAGTGTTTTCCTTATTTTTCTGTAATTCTAGGAGACAAGGCATCAAGAAAAAAGAGTTCTCGGTCAGGCTTCACTACTGGAAAACATTTACAAGAAAGAAACTAAGATATATGTAAACAGAAAAAAAAAATGGTATCGTAAGTTTTCCAAGAATAGTACTAGATTAGCTCTATTATCTGACTTCAATGACATATATTTTTAACATTGGGGAATACGCGTATAGTTAGTCTATATTAATTTAAGAACAATAACTATTAGAAGAATGGAAAAATCTCCAACATCAT